AATCAGTAAAAAGAGTTTTTTTATTATTAATATATTAATTTTTATGATATTTATATTCAAATTATATAGTTACCAATTTATTTATATCATTTTTTTGTTGAATTGTTTATTTTTTGCCAAATGTTACATGAGTGGCAAATGACTAGTAAATATATTATAAAATTAAATTTTATATATTTTTTAATAGTAATTGATAAGACCAATTAAAGTAGAATTTCTTTATTTATGAATTTATGAAATGACAAATGCCTATAATGAAATGGTTAGTAATATATGATCTATTCTATATAAGTAAACATATAAAAAAAAAAATTTTTTTTTCTAAAAAAAAAAAACTCCATATCTACGTACGTTGTGTCAAATCTATGTATAGCAATTATGAAGACTCGCCCGGTGAAAATGAAATGCAAACCATCCAAATAGATACAAACGAAGAGAAACCTTTGGACGAGAGAAGCCAAAGACGAAAAGGGTAAAATTAGTCGGACACATGTTTGTTTTTAAATTATATCCACTCATTGTGACAAGTATAATGGACGCATGAACACTCATTAATCCAAATAGCCTTGCAGACTTGGCTACAGCTAATTACCATGTCGGAACGCATTCAAAGTGCATAAGGCCCACTGAAGATATTTTTAATCCCGAAGATCCTAAAATTCGTGAGGTAAAATCTCGGAATTCCGAGCATTTTATAATAATTATTAATTAATTCACGGTTTATTGTTTAGGATATAGTCCGAATGATAATTCAATATCTTTCCGATGAAGGCTATACCGTATCGAAAATGACCATTTACGACGAAGCAAACGTGAAATGGAATGAAAGAGAAGAACGCGTCGTGGAAGTCAAGCGACTAAAGAAAGCAGTATTTGGTAAGCATTTCAAGCGATAATTATTTTTGATTACCTATTGCTAAATCTCTTTCAAAATCCTAGATGGCGACTGGGCAGAGGTTGATAAGCTTTGTGCTAAATCTTTGGTTAAGAATCATAAAAGTTTCTTGTATGCTGTTTACAAACAACAGTATCTCGAACACATTGAGAATCAGGAAATTCAAAAGGTTCGTTATATATTTATGTATTTATATTTATATCTATTTCTCCGAGTGGTTAAATATGGTTATCCTTAATTGATGTTTTACCATTTTCAGGCTTTCTCTTTCCTGAATAAAAGGTTGAAGCCACTTGAACATCTGCAAATGACGCCTAATGAATTTAAAGATTTGTGCTACTTGTTGACCGCAAAAGGCGTACGCGACGCGCCATCGTTCAGAAATTGGGAGGGGATTGGTCCTGCAAGGTAGATATACCTCTTCCATTACGTCATGTACTAAATTTCCAAATAACATTACTTAATGTCGATGCAGAGAAAAGTTAGTTGAACAATTCCAGAACATGCTTAATCTTGAAAATACGGAAAAGGATGGTACGCATTAATCAAAATTCGAGCATCCTTGATATCGTAAAAATTCTGGCAACTCTTCAATAAGTCTGTGGAAAATAGCAGAAACATTCAATGATTTCTTCCGAGAAAGGTTCCATATACGTACCTCCCAATCGTCTCCTTACAATGCTTCGTCAAGCCGTTGCTTATCAAATTGAATTTTCGCGGTATCATCCTCGTATAGCACCACGAGTAAATACGTAAGTGAAAAATACTTTATCAGATCATTCATTTACGCATTTTATATTAGAATTAAGTAACCTTGGTTATTATTATATATTATTCTATCATTTATATTTGTAGGTTATTACAGGATTACAGCAGTTTTGTCATACCAAATGCAGTACGAGCGACATTAACCGGACATCGCGGTAATGTTAAGTGCGTTGGATTCATCGGGGAGGAAGGCCGTAAAATTGTTAGTGGTTCTAGGTGAGTAACACTATTTCCAACGTTAATCCCGATTAGTTATAAATTTTTTTCAAATCAATTACTTGTATAGCGATAATACACTAAGATTATGGGATACGGATAGCTCGAAAGAAATTTGCGTTTTAGAAGGCCATGACTCTCGCATTTGGGATGTTTCGTCTAATAAACATGGCACCATGGTTTCTAGCGCAAGTGGAGATGGAACGATCAAGGTTTTCTTGTTTTTATTTTTTCTTTTTTTTGAAAAAAAAAAAATAATGCTCTTTCTTAATTTTTCCTTAGAAATTTCATTGTAACCTATTTCACCTTATAAAATATTAGTTGTGGGATATCAAAGCAAATCAACATTCTTACTTGTCTTCTTTGTCTGGACACTCGGGTGACGTTTACACGGTCAAATTTCATCCCGGAGACGTGAGCATCTATCAATCGATTATACAGATGTCGAGACGTTAATATGAAAAGAAAAATTATTTACAATGGCATTTTCTTATCAGAATCATGTTGTAACAGGAGGTTATGACAAAATCGTGAGACTCTATGATATCTCAACTGGCCAATTGGTGAAGATGTTTACTGGTCATCAGCTATCTGTAACAAAAACCATATTCAATCCTTTGGGCAATTTGATAGTCAGTGGGTAAGGATCATTACATTCAGTTACACTAACTAATTTAACGATCAATAATCAATAACTTTTCTTTGTCCAAAAGTTCAAAAGATCACACAATAAAATTTTGGGATATTGTTTCGGGATTATGTATAAAAACAATTTCTTCTCACTTGGGTGAAGTGACATCCGTAGCGATGAATTCCAATGGAACTTTGTTGTTAAGTAGTTCAAAAGATAATTCTAATAGGTTATGGGATGTTCGAAAGGTAACTTGATCTTTGTTGCTTTAACCAATTCTTGGATAATTCTTATGCACATTCTGTGAATCGGATAGGCACGTCCCATCAAGAGACTAAAGGGACACCAGAATACATCCAAGAATTTTATTAGGGCAGGATTCGTCAATAATTCGTTAATTGTTGGTGGCTCCGAGGTAATCACATTGACAAGTTGAATTTTATTTATTATAAAAAAAATTTTTTTTTTTTTTACTTATAAATAAAAAAAAACTTAGGACGGCGTCGTGTATATTTGGGATCAGGAAACGGAGGAGGTTTTGCAAAAATTGAAGGGTCACAGTGGCATTGTTTACGATGCCATCTGGAATCCCAAGCAATGTTTATTGGTCAGTTGCAGTGATGATAAAACATTAAAGACTTGGTGGTATGACGAAGGCCTCCCATTAGAGCTGGAATAAGTGGAGCTTTGTATAATTAATATTTATGAAATTTTTGGGAACGATGTTTTTTATTACGCATTTATATAATAAATATAAATTATAAACATCAAGAGGTGCGAGTGCATAACTTTAGAAAATGATGTTAATATAACTTTTCTAGAGCGTTTACTAATGTATCCATGTCACTCTTGATGCTTTGAGCGTATCTTACGATTTTCTCCTGAAGGCCAAAGAAAATAGATCAATTCATTAATTTAAGTGTTGTCGAAAAACCGAAAATATTCAACTGACCTGATTGTCCAAAACTTCTATACTCTCCGTATATGGATTATATCTCACGGAAAAAGGTCTATTTAAGGTCTTGGCGAACTCACGTACCTTCAGTTGAGCATCTTTGAAAGAATCCGCGACGAAATAAATCTTTTAAAGGAAAAAAAAAAAAAGATGTAAATTGGTGAAATCTAAAGTTTGATATGAACGAATGAAATAATGAGATTTAACTGGTTGATATTCAGTCACGATGTATGGTTGCAATGCAGTCTTGTAAGGATCGAACGGCACTTTTTTCGGTTTATCGGTTAGCGAATACTATTGTTATTATGGGTCACAAATTAATGAATGACTTGAGGATTCACAAGCTTTTCTAGTTGCTCCTTACCTCTAATTCGCCAAATGAAGATAAAAGTCCTGCACCATATGCTTTAATTTCACCGTCTTGGTGACACAAACCAAACTCAACAGTGAACCAGTAAATCTTGGAGAGAAACCATCATAGTTAAAATAAGTTCGGATAACATTGACATTATAAGAACAGGAAATACCGTGGTTAGTTTTTCCAGATCACTATCGCTTGCCCCTAATGAAACCAATCCAATTTCCTTTAGTTCAAAAAGATATATGATTATTACTAACATTTAGGAACGGCTTGGAACTAATGTGATAAAATTGGTACCTGTGAAAAATCGGCAAAATCTGGATCACAAAACAAAGGTGCCTTTGAGCGAAGATAGTATGATTTAAAACAAAATACGAGTCTAAAATAATGCATCACACTAATACAATTTATTCACTCACGTGTCCAAGCAATTCGTGACACACGTCCCTAAGAGTATACGGTTTTAGATCTTTGTAATCTAAATTTACTCGATAATAAGAAGTCACCATTGTGATTATATACTTACGGCTCCGGTGTATAAAATGGTGACGAATGGTGGCGAATGTATTGAGTCGAGTGGAAGACACGAAAAGCAAGACCGTTGAGAAAATCTCGGGATGTAAGTAACCCCATCACCGGACGAAGAGTGAAACCTGTACAATCTGGAGAAACACAAAACGATTATTTAGCGTTAGAGAAAATGCGCATTATAAAGATTAATGAAAATCACCTTTCAAAAATCTGGATACTGTTTCTAATTGCGGAATATTATCTTCACCATAGCCACAATTTTGAATCAACAGCGGAAATACGTATTGATGTTCTCTACATGCATGAGTCCGATATAATGACACTAAATTCCGGAAAACAGTACCCCATGTGGCGATCTCTTGAGGAGTGTATTCAATAGTAGGGATAGGTTGTCCGTGACGATGCGTTTTTGCGACTCGAGTAATCTCTGCGCGTCGCGCTCTATAAACTGGATCCTTTGCACCCGGATGATCGGAATCTGAAAATCAAAGAAAAAAAAATTACGATTAAACTGCATTATTTCCATAGATAACGAAGAAAAAGAATTACCAAGTTCTTCTCCCATCTCTAACACTTTATCAGCAAAAGTGTCAAGATCGGACTTTTTACGCGGGAACCATGGAATCTGCGCTGTGAATGTAAATAAGAATGATCTAAATAAATTTCGAAAATGCATTGGCCGTATGTAAGTACAATAAAGTCACCTTCTGTAGCTTGTTTGTTGCCGGCACCAATGACTTTCACCTGTTTTGTAATTTTCTCCAGAGTTTGAGCTACGCGATTAAGTTGGTCGGCGTTCTCTGAATTAAAATCAATAAAGAAATCATAGTCCCAGCCAGGCGTTTTACTCGGACGACTTCAGCAAAATAAAAAAACATCAACCTATTTAATACTTAGAAATACCAGAGAATAAAACGAATCATATCTACCTTTCAATTCTTGTTAATGAAATATTTAAATTCTTGACGGCTGATAAGCATTCGTCCAAAACACCGACGCGGTCTTCGACACTGAAGAGAATAGTGGTGAGAAATGGACCCGATTCATTAGCATCAACGGTATGCGTCACTTCCGAATACATTTTGTCGCAAATGATAATTCAAAGCAAGAAGCCTATGTACGATGCGATCGGCTGGCTTAGAGTATCTATAATTTTTTTACAATAGTGCTGTAACATAATCACACGAGCTACGCGCGTGATGCCACAATTATTCCATATTCGATCTTGCTATAGTAATTCGAATAATCAAGTTTCAATGCTGGGCAATTTAATTGTTTTCTATGGTTATGCGAAATTATATACAGTAAGTGCGCTATTACATCGAGTACTAAGTTAATAGTCGAATATACTGTGTTATTAAATACAGTATTTAAGGAATTCTCCTCCTTGTTAATAAAGTCTTACCATTTTCTCTAAACCAATCTGAAGAGAACTTCAGGAGTCATCCAAACCTTCCTCTCTTCTTGCTTATATTTCTTTTCAAACAAAACTTGGTTGTTAGTAATCTAAAAGTCAAGAAATATCTTTTTTACAAATGATAAAGTTTTGAAAGAAAGAAGAACTTAAGTGTTGCTATCTACTCACTTGTTAGAGAAACATTATAAAGTTTTGTTTTCTTTATTCTTGTTTGAGCTCTAATAATACTTGTTTTTGGAATTTTATTTATCTTAGTTTAATCCTAAATTTTAAGTAGCATAAAGTTTCTTAAGCAATAATTTTACAATAGCAAATATATAAATATAAGAATATAAACAAGTTTTCATTGGTTACCTTATGTATCTGAATGTATTTATTCAATTTCATGGATTCATTATAAGTTATTTTTGTTATTGTGTAGATAAATACAGAACATAAAATCTCTCATGTTAATGATTATTAAAAAAAAACAAGTTGAAATAAAACATATTGAATAGATACACAAAGACCTTTTTCTTCTTTTCTATTTAACAAATATAATCTGACAACTTGAATATTATTTTTTGAAAGATTTGATGCTGTATATTCATCTTTTTATTATATATTGATGATATAACTAATTAATAATTAATATCCTGTGATAAGATTCATATAAATTTTTTAAAAATTTTTTATTTAATTTTTTTTTTTAAAACCCTTAGCCAGATTAGGTATATATGCTTTATTAAACATTTGTATACTTTACATTTAAAATGTTTCACTAAAGCTAAATCTCTACCTAACTTACTCATTTTTGTTTTATAAATTTTCTAAAATTCTAAGTATAACTTCGGAAGTGATTTATCACTTTATTAATAGTTCAGATAAAAATTCTTTCAACTACTAACTTCATAATCTGCAGGTTACTACTGCAGAACACTATATGAGGTTCTAACTAAATTTAAAATCCTAATTAATTCATTCCATATTCTACCCTTTTTATCACAATCTTCTTAAGATTTTTATTTTCTAAGTGTTCTTCTTCCATTAATAGTTTCTTTTTTATTGGAGATATGGTTTTTTGGCTTGGAGAATGCTAAGATCTCTTGATCTTGTCTTTTCTATAAATTCCCTATATCTGCTTCCACTCGATTATTTTCTCATACTTTGTATTCCAAATTCTTTTTTAAACTTGGTTACAGACTCTTTTCTGTATTTTTAACATTCATTTTCTTGCTTCTTTTCCTATCCATTTTCCATTATATTTTAGATCTACCATTTGTTGAATGTGATTATTTTTTATAAAACCAGCACAGAAGTTTAGGATGTCTTAAGTAGTTTTTAAAGTTTGTTCTACTAATTTAGAGATCCATTTATTTAGCTCCCCCAGTTCTTTACAGTTATTTATAATTAGTCTGGAGTTTTTCTCTTCAACTTCCTTTTTTCTTTCTTGCAAAAGTCCTTTGAAGTCTTTAAAATTCTATCTATTTCCTTCTTCCATATCTCTTGTACTTCATTCTTATAGGTTGAGCATTCTAGCAAGTATTTTATTGTTTTTTCTTAATAATTATATATAATACATTTAACTTACTTATATAGATCAAGTCTTCTAGTAGCCAGTATACTTAAGGTTGATAATTCATCATTGATCAATTTAATAAGAAAACTTCTCTGTTGAGATTGTTTGAAAGATATGTTCTATGTATATCCATTCTTTATTTTCTTTTACATTAGATCCTATGTATGGTTTTGTTGATCTGAAATTTGGTGACACTACTTTTTCTCTATTCTATTTTGTTGTGTCCATTGATAGGCCATTGTTTTATTGTTAACATTCTTAATAAACTATCTTATTAAATCATCTACAGTTATATCCTATTACTTAACTTCTGTAAGAATCTTATATAAGATAAGGTTTTTTCATTTAATTGATGGAAGTTTTAAGGCTTCTTTGGCTAAAGTATCTATTTTTTCATTATAAGGATTATTGACATGTACCTTGACTTTAGTAAGCTTTAGATCTATACTTTTCTTTTGAATTAACTTATTCATTCATACCCAAAGGAACCAGTTTTTCTTTTTTAGTCATCTTTTATGAGTTTTTCTTGAATCTTTTTTTTTAATTATCTTTCATTTGGACACATATGCTTGACTATCTGTACAAATATCAACAGTATTATTGATTAAAACTACTAGGAATATAGTTACAATTGTTATTAACTCTGCTCTTATGAATGAGGGCCAGTTGTTTACTCCTATTTAAAACTTGCTTTCTCTACCTCCTATTCCTATCTGAATCCATGCTGCTTCCATTTTTATTTCTTCTTTTCCATGATTAATGAGTGATTCATCAGAATAAAAGGTTAGTTTTTTTTTTTGAATCCAAGATTGTACTGAAGTATATCAATTAGATGGTCTTGATACATTCCTTCTTTAATATTTTTCTTAATAATGATTTCTTTCCAAGTTCTATATCTACATAATCTATTCTATTATTTTGAGAAGATATTTTAGAAAAGTTTTGATCAATGTAGATTCAGTTTTAAATTATCTTTTCCAGGACAGTCTTGGGTTTGGAATTATCACTTCTTGCATTCTTCTGATGGACTTTCTTGTATTGAGATATGGGGGGTTTTTTTTTTTTAACCCGCAATTATGTCACAATGGCGTATCTTTATTGAGATATTGAAAAATATCTAAATATTTTACAGACTTTCACAAAGAGACTAACTCGTCATTGTACATTATTAGTTAAAGGACTACACTACTTAAAAAATATGAGGAGTCCACTAAGCTAGTTCGAACTAAACAAAA